AATACACTAGACTCAGGGATGCCTCCTCAGTTGGAAGCAGAGCTGGCAGCTATGTGAGTGCTTCTTCTTCCTTGGGATCGTCTGGGATCGTGTCTTGTCCAGCTGGGGATCGTGTGCGGTCGGGTCTAGTCTACTTGGGGATCGTGTGGGATCGGGTCTAGTCTGGCTCGGGATCGAGTGGGATCGTGTGCTTTCTCAGTGGGGATCGTGTTTTGTCTCGTGGGATCGTCTGGGTAGTGCTTTTGCTGTCACAGCTTTGAGGTCGTGTGGGGTCGTGTGGGATCGTGTGGGATCGTCTTTGCGTGCATGCATGCGTGTGTGTGTGGGGTTTTAGGTATCCGCATGCGAAGTTCGCTGCTCTAAGGACAGGGGGCCCCTTTCCCTTTCTTGCTGCAGCAGATGAGGTGTCTATGCACCTTGAGCTCCACCTCCGCCGTTGCGGGGCAGCGCATGCAGCCCCATTGGCTGCGTCTAAGCATGCGCCTACAGCACCAGCAGCAGGTGCAGCACCAACACCAGCAGCAGGTGCAGCAGCAACAGCAGCAGCAGCAGCAGCCCCACCTTCAGACACCAAACGCAGGGAGGACTTTATGCATCTGGGGTATAAAGAACCCCTTAAGTACAACAGTCTCTCTTCTAGAGACAGAGACGAAATGCAGCAGCAGCAGCAGCAGCAGCTCAGAGCCAGCAGCAACCAGGCTGTCTCTGCAGCGGAGGAGATCCCTCAGCAGCAGCAGCAACAGCAACAGCAGCAGCAGCAGCAGCAGCAGCAGCGGCGGCCGCCTTTGTTAAGCCCGCTGCACTCTTACGATCTCCTGTCTCCTGAGTCTTCTTCTTCCCCATACCCCCGGAAGCTGCAGCAAGAGGCCCCTGCAGCAGCAGCTGTTTGGGGGCAGGCAGCAGCCAGCAGCAGCAGCAGCAGCAGCAGCTGCAGCGTTAGCAGCTCCGGCAGCTGTGAGAGCAGCAGCCTGCAGCAGCCCTTGAGCCCCCTTGTGTTTAAAGACAACCAAACCAACGCCCATCACAGCAGCAGCAGCAGCAACAGCAGCAGCAGCAGCAGCAGCAGCAGCAGCAGCAGCAGGAATGCACCCCCAGACTCAGTTAGAGACACAGGCGCACCCTCAATCCCCTTCTAAGGCAGGCTCCTTCAGCTGCCTGTACACCTGGATGTGGGAACAGATAAAATAAGAGGGATAAGACTCTTGCTGATGAATATTAAAGAAACTTTTTGAGTTATAGCAGACGCTTACTTGGCTTGTAAAGACCGACATTTTGCTCTTTGTTGTCTCCTCACCCTTTCCTCGAATCGAGGGTCTAGGGTTTAGGGTTTAGGGTTTAGAGTTATCACTAGCTGCATGCATGCGCCTTCCTTCTGCTGTCTGTATTTTTGCTGGCTTTGTTTGTTTGCTGCTATAAACACAATCACAAACAAATAAAAGAAATTCGTCAGTAGTCTCCTCTTATATTAGCACTTACATATGCGTGCAGATATATATATATATATATATATTATATATATATTATAGATATATATACAAAGATATGTATGTAT